AAAAAGTGAAATTACAGATGAGGAGTAAAAACATAATATGAACAAATGTTTTTAGCAGGATTTTCTACATGTAGCAGAGTATTTACCAAATTGGTTATTTCTATTGTGTTTTTTAGGCACAAACATTTGCTAAAAATCTTTTTGTTCACAATGTTGGAAATGTTCTTGAGTTTTGAATAATGTGCTTAAAAATTTGTGAAACCGTAATCTACCTTTCACAATAAATAGAATAGAATTCAACTTTGTTGTCATTGCACGTCACAAGTACAAAGCAATGAAATGCAGTTTGCATCCATCCAGAGTGCTTAGCCAAGAAATATAAATATATATATATATATATTGCAAATGTACAGTAAGATGTGTGACTATGCTGTAACTGTAATTATAGTATAAACAGGTTATGCATGTACAGATTATGAACAGGTTATAAATATGAAGGGGTATAAATATTTGTAAACATGAGTAGATTATCTATACAGTATAGACAGTAGTGAGAGGACAGCAGGAAGTGCAGGTAAGTGGTGTTTAGGTCCATGTGTTATTGGTGTGTGTATTGTTCACATGTCAGGAGGCAAAGAAGCTTGGTAACTGGTGGTCTTGTTCCGGAGGYTCCTGTARCGCCTCCTAGAGGGCAGGAGGGTGAATAGTCTGTGTGCTKGGTGGCTTTTGCCTATATAATGTATTTATATCTGGTGTGTTTGTTGTTATTTTCAGGAAAACGTGCCTATGAGCARCTTGGGTTACGAGCTTTTGGTCGCCCAGGACAAATGCTGGCTGCCTGCGTCATAACAGTGCACAACATTGGAGGTATTGTATTGTCATCACTTTCCCTCTATGGGTTTTGCTTTATTCAGACAAGAATAAAACTTAATAAATTGTTGTTGTTTGGTTTTGGTTTTTTTCTTTAGCCATGTCCAGTTATCTTTTCATTGTAAAGTCTGAGCTCCCGCTGGTTATTCAATCTTTCCTTCAGAAAACTGAATCAACAGGGTGAGTAGTATTAATACAAMCTTTTGCTAAAGATTTACAGTGTGCGTACTTTCTGGTCATACATATTTGATTTAAAAAAACAGATATTGAAAAATGGTTTGTCTTTTTTATTTTTCTCAAACCAGAAGTTTAGCACTGTTGTCACTGGCTGTGTCTCAATTYATGGGCTGCACCCTCATGAGTGCACATTTGTCGATTTGAAGGCTCCTTCTCATATGGCTTAGGAATGTAGCCCACAAAATTTTGAAAATCCAGAATGCACCCGAGTATCTTTAATGGCCGAGGCTATCCCAGGATTCAATGCCCCGACAGCAAACTAAACAGAGAAACAAGACGAGGAGTTTATTGGTTTTTTTTACCAAGTCGGCGTAATTTGGAAATTTGTTTTTAAATATAAGTTTAGAAACAAAACTGATCATATTTATGCTGCAMTAAGATAAATAAAATACAGCTACAAGTACTGGAGCTAAACCCAAATGATTGATGTTTTATTATTTTTATTTACGTGTAACRTTTTAACTGTGAAGTTATTCAGTGAAAAGACATGTAAATACACGTCCCAATGCATTTTAAGTCCAATATGAAACCGATCTGTATGGTGACAGGATAGCGCGTGGTCACACAAACTTGCGTCTACCGAAGGCTAAACCGTCTCATTTCGTAGCAGTTTCCTGCAGCTTACCTGGACTGGGAAGGATGTGGCCCACGTGGTCCAGGTGGGCTAGAGAATGCAGCCCGTGAATTGAGACAGAGCCAAAGCTGTCCTGTGGAACCTGCTACAGCAGGGCTATTCAAGTAAATCGCTCTAGGGCCGGGGTTACTCAAAGCCCACAGCTCAGGGGCCTGACATCCACACCCCTCAGGGGTGCAGGGTGCCCAGTAATGGTAGGTGAAACACTGCACCATGTGACAGAACAAGTATCTTCTACTTTTTTTGTTGCATTGAAACATATATATAT